TCTCTCTCTCTCTCTCTCTCTCTCTCTCTGCGTTTGTGCCTTAGGGCTTGTGTACACATAAATGTAATAATCATACACAGTACATTATACAAACATATTATATATAATGATATGTGCACATAAAAAACTGCTCATACGTACGTTTCTTTTTATTTCTATTAAACATATCTTAAAATAAAATTTAAAACATAATGCACCATGTCTCTATGCCACAAGACCACTGAAGTTCAAATTACCTTATTCATAACGTCTTACCTAGTCACTGATTGCAAGCAGTCATGCCGTCTGTAATTTGCTGAGTCATCGTAATATAGCAATTATATTATTGTCCTGTAACTGGAGCCCGAGGGTGCGAGAGAGAGAGAGAGAGAGAGAGAGAGAGAGGAGGAGGAGGATAGAGAGAGTTGAAGGTCCTTGGGAAGTCAAACTATGAACGCTGCTCACTACAAAAAGAAACAATACACCTATGCATGACTCAGCGAGTTTCACACGCACGTGTTCAGTCAGTACCTTTTTCAAATTATACTCCCTTTTTCCTACCCCAGAACTGACACTGGCCCAACCCCCTCCCCCGCTCTCTCTCTCTCTCTCTCTCTCTCTCTCTCTCTCTCTCTCTCACTCTCTCTCTCACTCTCTCTCTCTTTCACTCAGACATTCACTCTCTTTCACTCTCTCTTTCTCTCTTTCTCTCTCTTTCTCTCTTTCTCTCTCTCTCTCTCTCTCTCTCTCTCTCTGTGTGTCTCTCTCTATCTATCTATCTGTCTATATATCTATCTATCTATCTATTTATCTATCTATCTATCTACCTATCTATCTTTCTATTGATCGATCGATCAAACTTTCTATTTATTTATCTCGTCCATGTATATTCTCCATCCCTCAATTCCACTTTTCTCAGAAATATTCTTTTTTCAAACGTATTTACCCTCTGCGCGGAAAAAATTACGGCATTTAAGATACCCCCCCCCCCCCAATCCCCAACCTCAATTTTATCACATTCGAGTCCTTGGAGCAAAATAAATTAAATTTTAAAATAAGTTTATTCTAGAATTGTCTGGATTTACATAGAGACAAAATAGTAACAAGAAAATGGAAAATAGATAAATCAAACTTTAATGAAACTTGATGAAGAAAAACAAGAGCATGAATGGTATTTTCAGAATTTGTTGACAGAAGAACATTTGTATTAGCTTGGAGACCATTACAATTTGAAGGTGTAAGTATAATATATATCTAAAAATTGTATTTTTAGAAATTAAAATGTATCACGCTTTCGCGTAGGTGGAAAGTGTTTTATGGATTTTATAGTGGCTGTAAAGAAAGCGTATTATTTATTGTAAAGAGAAGAAAATGAAGGTAACAGACTTCAGAAATATTTTCTAAAATGTTAGAATTGCCTGCCAATAGTGGTTATGCTTTTTTGCTAGCCATAATATATATTTTTACAACACACGAGACGGAACAAAACACATTTCGTCAATGAAATTGTGATAATATCTGGAAAAACAGCTACGTATGAAACAGAACACTTTTAGGAACAGAACTGAAAAACACTAGAGATATTCTAACAAGAATATTATAAAGATATAAGATTGTTTAATTTCGGCAGCGCCATATCTGGAAAGTTTAACTGAAAAAGAATTTAGATTCGAATTAACCTTTAGGTTCGAAAGATAGGATTTACAGGTGGGTATTGGGAGAAAGAAAAGAGGGTCGAAGAGAGAGTGTGAAGTGTGTAAAATATGAACCTGTTCCAAGATGAACAATTTATTTTTTAATTTCTTACGTGCTATTGTCCTATTAGTGTTTGACGATAATTAGAGATTAAATCATAATACCTCCTCCCCATACAAAGTATAAACATAATATATTTGTCATCTGGTTTTTTGTTTTTTGGGGGGGGTTTTCCTTCTCAAAATGAACGTTTTATGAAAAGAACGCTTGTAATGTTTGAAGAATACGCAATCAATCTCCTGAAATGTCTGAACTATGTTATATGTTTCTATGGAACTGTTCTTGGGAGATTGAAGGGTTTAGTTTGTGCTGGGAGGCTGTATAGTAAACATAATCAAGCCTGATCTCCTTCTTTCTCTCCTCTCTCCCTCCCCACCCCCCCTCTCTCTCTCT